ATAAAAGTGAAGCTTCATCCACAGCAGGAAGTAATAAAACATCACATCTAAACCTTTTCCTTCCCAGTACTCCCCTTTAATTTACCTGCATCAAATTTTAAACACATTTCCCTCTGATTAAAGAAAATCTCTGTCTGGTTCATTCATGAGGAGGTAGAAGGATGTTCCAGTGAAAACCTTAAATGAAGATTTATTTATGCAGCACTGTTCAGAACAAAGGTTACAAAGTCTTTCACAATAAAAGCATTTTTATATCAAACAGGTAAGATAGTAACAAATAAGATCAACAACAACAGTGGTTGATGATCTAATAACGAGAAGTAAAATATTTCAAAGTTCAGGGGCTCGATCTCAGACCGCATCACGTCTGATGGACAAGTACAGCTGAGGGTCAAGAGAGGTGAAGAGATTTACATGTTCAATGACGAAAAGGTAGAAAATAAACTGAAGGAAACGTCAGCACCAGCATCACAGAAAGGCAGTGAGGTCTGGAGATAATCCAGAGTCCCAGATGAGGTGAAATCACACCCCCTTCTCTTTCCTCCAGAGTCATTCATGATGGCCTTGGCTACATCAGCGTCTTCCCCTCATGGTTCCCACTCCTCCGGCCCCTCCCACCTCTGCTCCTCCGGCAGCCCCTCCTCTCCACCAGCGTGGACCAGACTGTCCGACCGGCCCCCGGGACTGAAGACGTACCGCTCCAGCTCCCGCGGGGCTCTCAGGCTCACCATCAAGCAGGAGTCCGGCTCCCGTAAGGTGGTCCACAACTCGGCCTGTGACCCCGGACTCAAGAGGGACCACACGGGGCAGCTGACCAACGGCGGTGGAGCCGTGAACGAACGCCACTCTCAGGCACCCAACGGAGCACCCCAGCGCCCTCAGCACGAGGAGGAGATCTCCAACGGAGCTCTGCCTGGTAACACCGCAGAGGAAGTCCCACACACAGCACCCAATTCCAAAATAAAAGCCCCAAATCCTCTTTCTATGCCAGAGCCACAGGCCGCTTGCTTCGAGTTGCCTCCCAGAGATGTCAGTGCCCCAAAACTGAAATGTTACAGGGTGGATGCGTCGCCTCAGACGGAGCAGCGGTTCAGCCCGCCGCCTCCACCCCTCCAAGAGGACAACATGCTCAGTGAACATCTACAGAGTGCCATCGACAGCATCCTGGAGCTCCAGCGCCTGCAGGGCCCCTCTGCAGCCCCGACCAGGGCCACGTCAGGCCCCTCGCTGGACCAGGCTGTCACCAGCATCCTGGAGGGACACCTGTGAGGTAATCTGCCCCCACAGACGTCCCCCACTGACACACAAACATCTGTCTGAGGGGGGAGGGGGGGGAGGGGGCGGGGGGTAACACAGAGGAAGGTGCACTTGACTTCTCATCTGTTCCCAGAACTACAAGAGATTTTGTTTCTGGGCTTCAGATTTTACTTTTAAGGAACTGATTGTTTGAAGGACGAGGGAAAAAATGAAGAGGCACTATAAAGAGATGCATACCAGACAACAGCACTATCTATAGTCTGATAGATGTTAGATACTTCATTTTGATGTACGTTTGTGGAAAAAAAAATCTATTTGAATAGGAGCTATATTGTTTCAGTGGTAGTTAAGTCATTCAGAGGTTTACGACACTGGTGTAACCTTCATCAGCATATAGTATATAAGTAATAGTGAGGATAACGAAAACGTGGAGTAGACTGAGATTATTCAATAGTTTTTTATAAGATTTCTTTCAAAAAAAAACGTGAAGTTTTTTTTCTTTGCATAGTGCCAAGCTTCCAGGGTATTTATTTTGATAATCTGTGCCAATTGTGTTTTCAGATGAGTTGCATTGAGAAAGGCAGCGAGTGTTGTGACGAGTGTGATGAGTGTGTGTGTGTGTGTGTGTGTGTGTGTGTGTGTGTGTGTGTGTGTTCAATTGGAAATAATTTGTGTGAATCTAAAGAGAGAGAGAGAGTGAAAAACATTGCATCCTGCGGCGTTGGTACATGAAAACCCCGCCGGCTCCATCATCTCGGCTTAACGAATGAAACTCCAAAGAATTTGTGACTTGCTACATCCTGATTACACCAGCAGACGTCCATGTTGTGTTTCTTCTCCCACAAACTGGAGTGTGTCTTTGTTAAAGCAGAACGAACCCGAGGAGGCGCAGAAAAAAAAAAACATTAGGAAGTTGTGCTTTTTTTAAATTTTTTTATTTGGACCCTTGTTGTCGTTTACGGAGCGGGATTAGGCCACATGGGAACTTTCTTTTTAGAATCCTGACTTTAATCTCAGAATAATGAGAAAATAAGTCAAAATTCTGAGATTAAAGTTGTTATTGTGATAAAAAATTGTAATTCTGAGATTAAAGTCAAAATTCTGAGAAAAGTCGTAATTCTGAGACTAAAGAAACGAACAAACATTTCCACATGTGGCCCTGATCCTCTTCCGTAGCAGCTCATGCTGGAGTCTGACTGTGAAATAGTTTTGTCTGTTTTCAGAGACACGAATGCTCTCCCATACTGTGTGTGTGTTAACATGCAAGCAATAATGAGTTAGGGTTGTTAGGAGCAGTGGTGGTGCAGTGAAGGAGGAGGGGGGAGATCTTTGCCTGTTGAGCTTATCTTCGTCATTGGATAAAAACCCGAGTTTGTTTTTCAGGAATGGAAGAAGCTTATTTTGTCATCGCAGCCCCTGTAGTTTAGAAATCGTGTTTCCAACATGTTTCAAGGGCTTGAGGGTCACTTTCCGTCACATACCGGCTTCAATGACCGAGAAAAAACGTCCAGTTCACGAGAGAAAAACACCAAAACTGCAGGTTGTTTCTCCACGACAGACACTGTACAGAACTCGAGCCTCTCTGCATCATCAAAGAGCCTTTGACCAAAAAAAAAAAAAAAACTAGAGGAATCATCCGCTACACATTCTCACTTCTCGTCATTAAATTATCAGTCTGTAGCCCGCTGAACTAAGCCGAAGATTTATTTTTCACGCAGCCATTTTGGAGCAATATTTAATTTTTGCAACGTCTTATGTTAATGTGACAATCTTATTGGTCTGAGTGAAAATGTGAATTCTGTTCATATGAAGTTCATAAGAGAGAGTTGAGCTCACACTCTCCCTCATGAAACATGTGCAAAATATTCTTTGTGGATGGATTTTACCTTGAAGGTCGAAATGTAAAATCTGCAAAATCTTTGTAATATAAATTGAAAAATGTGCTTCAAAGTTTTAGTTTTTGGAGAAACTGTTAGGGGTCACATTGGAGATGTTGAGAACATGCCTTTGACTCAGTGTACCTTTAAGGAAATGGAATCTGCAAAGAAAAAGATAATTAATGTGAAGTTTAAAATACTGTAACATCTGGTGTTCTGAAATGTGAAAGTAACCTGTCCCTTCAAAAAAGAAAAAAAAGAAAAAAACACTGAAGAGATTTTGGGGGCTAAATCAAACAGGACTTCTCATGTCTTAAATTGCATCATCATTTTCTTTTAAATGTGAAATTGTCTTTTGTTGGAATGAACAAAAGGAGTTATAATATGCAGTAATTTAGTGTTGAAACGCTCTGCTGTAGTCCGGGTAGACACACACTAGAGGATTCTTCAAGGAATAGTTTGGTATTTTGTTGAAATACAGTTTCGCTTTTCGAGCTGCGTTAGAGCAGAAGATCGATATCACTCACGTCTGTGTGGTAAACATGAGGCTACAGTTGTCTTAGCGTAGCATCAGGATTGCACCTTCTTCCTGTAGAAATGGTTTCAATGCCGCCCGACTAGAGAAACAGCAAATTTTCATGCAACAGAATTGGATGGAAACTAGTTTAAATTTGCATTTTTGAGCCGAAAAAAACGTTTTGATGGTTGTCTGACAACCACACAGTTTTACAGTTTCAAATTAGTTAAACAAAGGAAACATAAAATGTTCGTTATTGAGCTTTGGATGTGCTGGAAGGTGGATTTAGTTAGCTGTGTCCAGTCTTTATGCTAAGCTAACTAGCTGCTGGCGAGTGGTCTCGATCTTCTCATCTAACTCTCAGTGAGAAAGCAAATAAGCAAATTTCCCAATTTGTTTATTCCTTTAACAGAAATTTGTTCCAAGAAAAAAAAAAAAGAAGAAAAAAAACGAGAATTGAAGAAGTGATTAAATCTTCAGGTGTGTTTCCGCCCTCAGAGGTTTCGCTGTAATGCAGTAAAGATGTCAGAGTGTCTTTCACAACACAGGATTGCACTCCTCGTCACCGCTTAACTTCTTAAAAAGGGGAATTCCACCAAAATTGACTCGTTTTTATTTTTAATTTTTTTTTTTTAAGAAGCACTTCCAAACATTTGCCAAAATCTCTGCTCTTTAATTCAAAGGACACTGGAAATAAAATAAAAATAAATTCTCAAGTCAACTGTGGTGGAATCCCCTTCAGTGAAGCAGCCTCATGTGCCATTGTTATTGTTGCATCATGTCCTCGGTGTCAAACACTGACCATTAGAGATATCCTTAGTTTCATCAGCATTTTAGGACAAAGGGATAACATCTGCATGTTGAGCCATTTTATTTATTTGTAAATGTGTTTTAATTTTTCTGACTGAACTGTGAAACCAGGGGAGCTCATAACTCTTACACTAATTCAACTTCAGATACAAAACATTTGACTGACAGATTGTTCTGATGCCAAAATCAAGAGGCCTTAATTCAGCAAAACTAGATTGTAAAAAAAAAAATGTCATTCCTGACAAAAAAAAAAAAAAATCCAACTAAAGACTCCTTTGACCTGAAAGTCATGAGTGATTCATATATGAAATGTTAAGAAAACCGCTTTTGTACTCATTTTTACAGACTATTTATTAAACTGTGATTTTGTAAGAAATAAAAAAAAAAAAGAAAAAAAAGAAAAACAAACGCTGAAAAAGTGTCGAGTCTTTTGTAAAAGATGAATTCACCAGCAGCACGAGTCACAGAGGATTAATACAAACATGACTTTTATTTATTTTTTAACATTCACTATTTAGGAAAAACAAACAGCTTCAGGGCTTACATCCAGGAAAATATGAATAAAGACAAAATCAGCTGTTTATTCAATTTACAGTTTCATGTATTGTAAATAAATTCATATTATGCTCAAGAGATAAATCTGCCTTGCAAAGGGGGGCGGGCGTGGTTTAAAGGTCATTTTCAGCATCACGCCAGAGTTGGCACCTTTTCTTCACTGCAGTTTGGATTCTGGAAAAACGACGTCATGGGTGAAAACGGCTGTAAACTGAAAGGAGGTCACGTCCCGACGCTGTGACACGTCTCCAGTCTGGTTTGGGGATTAGGAGGCACATTAAAACATGAGCCATGGAGATGTCCCAACCGCCGGGAGAATCAGCAGCAGGACGTGAGCATCACAAGTTTAAATGATCAACTAAACGGGCCAAACTCCGCTGGCGTCCGTCTCCTCCCTGCAAACAACACGCTCGGGCTGAAAAAGGCACCTTGAGGCCAAACTCATCTTTTCAAAAGCAAAAATGGCCAAAGATGAAATTTGATTTCAAGTTGCTTCTGGGAAATTCATCCTTCATCTATTGACTTAAAACAGACAACAGACTGAAATAAAAAGCAGGGCGGAGCGCCGGATGATTTAAGGTCATATTAAAATGACCCGCTCTCTACAAAGCAAATCATTTATTCTCATACTGATGGAGGTAATAAGCTGCTGACCTGCAGGGGGGAGTGTGTGTGGGGGGGTAATTAAATTTAAAGGGGACAGTAAGAGCAGGCAGCAGCTTTGTCTAAAAATCTCTTCTTAAATTTCATTATCTTAACCTTTTCCATAAATAATTATATATTTGTCATAATAAAAAAAGTGTCCATTTGCAGTGACATAACGTCCACCATGGCGTTGCAGTTAGTGTTTTTAGATTCAGTGCTGGCTTTCCTCTCCACAGGGAGAGTTTCTGTTACGTTCACTCAGGTCCACGTGGAAACCTAGCAGCATCTCGCTGGTAAACGTTGTCCAGCGTCCATCACAGGTCGAGTGTGCTCAGGGAACTTGACAGCCGCCACATGCTGGTAACATTTTGGTCCTGGCGGGAAGATTAGTGCATTTACCTGCTCACTCAAAAAAAGAAAAGAAAAAAGAAAAGATATTTGGCTTGAAAACTCGACAAAGTGGCTGCAGAAGTTTCAAACTCATCCGGCACTTTGATCAGCAGAAGAGAAAAAACAAGAAGGAGTTTCCCGTCCTGGTGCGTAGCTGCTTCGTGGACGTCGACGGTCAGTTGAGTTTGATGGGCAGGTCCTCTCCGTACTTGCGGAGGAACTTGCTGTGGTTGTGGTCGACGGACCAGAGAGGCGGGAGGTGGCGAGGATGCATGGCGGTGAGGAAGTGCTGCCTCCAGCGGCGCTCCAGGTCCATCAGGCCCAGCAGGCCCTGCTCAGCGTGAGCTCGCACCACCTTCAGGCCGTGAGGCACGTACGCCTCGTTGAAGATCCTTCAGAGGAGAGAGGGGCGGGAAACTGACACAGCTCTACAGACTGCATGCAATGCAGCAGGTGAACATGACTGTGATGATTCCAGCTTAACTGACAAACCGACTCATCATCATCATCATCATCATCATCACAAGCATTAGCTCATTATTGATAAGTATCGGCCTGAGGACTAGACAATCACATGTTCATATTCTTTCTGAATAGAGACAGTACCAGTGTCACGACTACAGTGAGAATTATGGGATGTTTGTAGCCGTACTGTTGCTAAGCTATCAAGTGTTTTGAAGTCTGTTTATAACGAGTGGAGTCTCTGAAGGCTTCTGTGTTTTGCTGACACAGCAGAAGTAAATTCATTACAGCTGTCACAGATCAGACTGGAAAATATGAACCGAAAAAGAAAATGACGGACTCTTCACTAGAGTCTGACAGCAGAGTGTGACTGATGAACAAGATACAGAAACGTGTGTTTCAGTCGTTGTTATTGTCCACGAGACAAAAGGCTCACTGACGAGAGGAATCTTTGCCAACAGGAGAAGTGTAAAAGTGTTTCCTGTTCTCAAAAGGTTGTTACAGGTGGCGGTTGTTCAATCATTTAAGTTTCTAAATTAGATTCTGCTCTGATCAGTAACAAGAATAAAACAGCTGATATTAGTAACATCATTTTTACTGTTGAAGTTAAGCCTGTTCTGGTGCATATTAACCAACACTGATGTAAACTGATGTGCTCTGTTGTCATGAACCAAAGCTAATAAAATAGCCATGATATACGTTTATGTGTGGTGCGATCACTCAACTGTCACTGAGCTCAAACTCACCTCGTCTCCAAACCGGCCGCCTGCTGCAGCGCCTCGTCCGTCAGCTCCTGCCTCTCGTTCATGTTCAGGAAACTCTTGATCAAAACCTGCAGCTCCTCTCGCCGCTGCTCCGGGAGCCCGTCCCCGGCGGTGAGCAGAGCCCGAGCCGCCGAACGCACCCGCCGTCGGTCCGAGTCCTCCAGCAGACGGACCCCCTCCTCGCAGCCCTGAGGGGCGGCGAACTCTTCGGCCAGCTGCTGCTTCAGGAAGCTGTCGTGCACGTTGGAGGCGGCGTGGCAGCTGGTGCAGAGCAGCAGGATGTCGTGGGAGTTGTGGTCCTTCATCTCTGTGGGGAAATGTCGTCTGTACTCATGTGGCACGATGTTTTTCCTGTGATCAGAGAAACGTATTAATCACATCTGCAAAGTCATAAAGTGTCTCTCCAACGTGATGAAACTAAGAGGAGCAACGTTACTGTTTCTTTACAACTTCAAACAAACGAAGCGGGTCAAACCTGATGTAGGAATCTGCTTTGCCGCAGACCACACACAGGTTCTCCTTGGCAGTGAGGTAGTAGTCCTGCTGGGAGTCAGGACGTCCCGATGGCTCGAACAGCAACCTCACAACAAACGGCTCTTCACTCTGAAGCACTGAGTCACAAACACAAACTCAATTTAAAAAACAGGCCGCTCTCTGAATCTCTCTTTCCTGTAACAGGCGGAGAGATGAAGCTCAAGCAGAGAAATCATAAATCAACTCTCTCACTTCCTCAGAATAAACTTACAGCTGCAACATGCAACTTTTTAAATCACAAATATCTGAAAATGAGAATCATCATCCCCCCATCATATCGCATCTCCCCTCTTCATCCCACCATGAGTCAAAGTAACGTGTTGGAAAACTTCAGGTGAACAAAGAGCAACAAATCTGCAGGAAAGGTCTTTTGAAAACAGACTGTCTTCACCGCCTGCGTACAGCTGCTGGTTCAGGTGTAAACTGCACCAGCTGAATGTTTAAGGACGAAGCTGTAAACTAAAAAGTTGCATGTTGCAGCCTCAAAGTTGAAAAGCAGAATGAGAAACATTCGTATTAATGGTCACACGTTGTGGTGTACCTCCTATTCCTTTATCTAGGTACCATTTGGCTTTCTTCTTGTCGCAGGTACACAGCGGCTGGCCGTCAGGAGCGTGGAGGAAGCAGTTATCATAGAGAGGAGACTTCCTGTAACAGAGTGAAGTCTGCAGTTTGTTAAACCAAACTTTGGATTTGAATCAGTTAGAATGTAAACTGCTTCTTGGATTTTGTTGGTGTGTACTGCGCCCCCCCCCCCCTCACCTGGCAGAATATCCCACACCCAGTGGTTTCCTCTTGTTATTCTTTCGTGGGTCTGGGACTTGCTGATCTCCAGACTCTGGGCTTTCATAAGTGGGTGGTTTCCGTGTCCTCCGCCTCCTCTCTCCATCAGCGGCCCTGTCGTCTCCGTCTCCTCGGCCCCTGAAGGGCACGTCCACCAGGCCCTGGCAGCGGGCGGCCAACTCAGAGTAGGAGCTCCCGCTGGAAGAGGCGGGTCCGGCGTCAGAGCGGAGGCCGAGGAGATGGAGGAAGAGAGCGATGGAAACTTGGGCGTCTCTGGCAGCATAAGTCATCTGGAGCGAGCAGACAACAAGAATTTAGAGAAAAAACACTCCTGGGAAAAAAAAAAATAAGTGGAGAATGATGTAATACAATGAATCACTACCTGCTCCAGCGTCAGTTGATCTGCCTCCCAGTCACTGCAGCGCAGCTCCAGAGATTTATCTAGAGATACATTCAACAGATCTGCCGCCAGGGACTTCAGGCTGAGGCCATTATTCACTGTAGCTTGCCTGACAACGGAAAAAGAATCAAAAACAATCATTTTGACTTTATGTAAACAACTTCTCACAGTGAGATTAACAACAAACAAGAGCCAAAAGTTACGTTTCCTACAAACCAGTGGCGTGCGGTGACTTTTACAGACAGGCCAGCAGAGGCAGATGTGAGGAGACATCTGCACTGACAGCACGCCACTGCTACAAACATCAAGCCGACTGTACCTTTGTCTTAAGGCAAGGTAGCGCAGGTCGACGGTGCACGTCAGGGACAGACCGTAGTCGCGCGTCAGACGCTTGCCATCTTCATAGCAACCGACGCCGACTTTCAGGACGTGGGGGTCTCGGAGGACTTCTATTAAGCTGAGTGGGAACGCCTGCTGACCGCTGCGGAACGGCAGCAGCCTCACCAGGACACACAGACCCGAGTACGAGGCCATCTGTAACAGGGAGACCGCCGAGACTTGGCCCTTCACCGAGACCTGCAGCGGGAAACAGCAGCCAGGTCAGACAGCAGGGTGAGCCACTTGAAATGTTAAAGAAGGATGTTTAAAAGGAAAATTCCACCCTTCTGATTATTGTACCGATTGTAAAAATGGATGTTAAACACATTTTCTGTTGTTTGCTTTTAGTTCCAGGTGGAGTGATTTACTTCTGGGTGGTCTATCTCAATGGAAGCACTGATATAACTCCCCGTTTCCCTTGATTTCCTTTTCCTAAATGATAATTAAATGTTGGTTTAAAACTTAAAAAGTAAAAAGTGATGATTTTTCAGTGTTGAGCTGAACTTATTCTCAAGAGAGCTGCAACAACTTTTCATCATCAGTTAATCTGTTGATTTCTTTCTTGATCATTTCATTCTGTTGTCTAGAAAATGTCAGAGACTAGGGGGAAAAAAAAAAGATAGGTCATAACAAATTCCTGAAGCCCAAGGTGCAACTAAATCATTGTCATTATTGATCAATGTGCTGATTATTTCCTCAGTTAATCATTATCCATGGAATGTAAAAACAAACAAACACAGGGTACAACGCTGAATCATTCTGGGTGGATTTTTCCTCTTCGTATTCTGAAAACATGCAAAAGGTATTTCTTACGCCTTTGGTCTTTACCCATTCACAGTCAAGCCCCAGCACAGGGAAGACTGACAGCTCCTTTTGCATCAGTGGCCACAGCTGCTGCCATTCCTCCTCAGAGCTCACCATGACTGGTTTCACACCCAGCAGCTGTTCAGAAGAAGGTATCTGTACAGGAGGGGGCAGTTGTGCGGTCTGACACTCCACGGCCTTGAATTCCTTCTCTACAAGGTTTTGCGGTTGGATGTATTGATACTCCGCAGCCGTGAACTCCTTTTCCACAGGATGCGGAGCCTCCACGGGATCAGCCACCTTCTGGATGGAAGGCAGCCTCTTCCTTCGTGTTCGGTAAACTCGCCATACGAGCAGCCCTCCTAAGGTCGCCCCTAGTACTGTTGTTATGACAGCAGTTAAAGGCCCTCGATGAGACATGCTGACTTGTAGTGATTCTCAACAGGCAGAAAAGTGCAAACCTAGAGTCAAAAGACAGAAGCGTATCCTGTTTTCAGTGGCCAGATCTGCATGTCACAAAGTGTTTGGTTTGTTAATAAGAAGGTGAGTGATGCGTTACCTTTCCTGTCAGTGGGATCCCATGTAAACCTGGCTCTGTTTCTGTGATCTGGACAGGCACTGCATCGCTCTGGAACAACAAAGTGAACACCACGAGTCCTCCTCTGATGAACAGTAGCAACATTAAACCTCTAGCTACGGTTGATATTATCCAACTGCTTCATTTGTTAGGATTTGTTGATCTATGGTTGAATGACAGCACTGTTGTCGACGCACATTTGTCAATATCTGTTCTGGTCAATATAATACTATTTACCTGTGTTATTCATCTTGTAATTTCATTAGATTTCATTTCAGGACCATGTACTGATTAAATAGTTTGTCTCTCTCTTCATGTGGGGGCAGTAGAGCTGCAATGATTAGTTGATTGTAAAAAAACAAATAAAAAAAAAAAACAACTATTGTGATAATTAATTAGTGTTTTTTCAAGCAAAAATGCCAAAAAATAAAAATAAATAAAAACGAAAATGCTGTGTTCTTCCTATCAAGTTTTAAGATTTTCTGTTTTACATCACAGTAAACTGAATCTGTTCGGTGTTGGACAAAACCAGACATCTGATGTTTGTTTTGTTTTTTCAAGAAAATAATTTCACAGTAGTCACATTAATCATAATGAAAGCAATAGTTAGTTGCAGCCATAGGGGGCAGTATTTGATGTTACATGGTCATATTTATCTTTATTTTTATGTCTTGAACGTATAATGTTATCAACAGTAGATTTACGAAGAATCACGTAAAAGTGCAAAACTACAAAATGGAAAGCTTGTGCTTTTGTTGTGGGTCAGATAGTTTAGCTGGAAGCCTAGATTGCACTGAACTACATAAAAAACAACCAAATATGGATGTGTGTGGAGGGTTGTGATTTGTACAGCGGTATGCCAGTGTGTATAAAACAAACTGAATGTGTACACAAGTCTGTTAGTATGAAAAAGGGAGAGTGCATGTGTTAAAGAATCTGGAGGATATACGCACTCAAAAAACTGACTTTAAAATTCAAATGTTAATTTCTTATGAGTGAAAACGTACATAGCTTCAACACTTAAGATAAATAAGATAACTCTTCATTCCACCTCAATCTCAATTGCTACAACTCCTAGGGTTTTCTGTGCCCATATGATATTGTTAATAATAATAATAATCATAATAATATGCTCTAATAATAACAATAGGCTCTGCAGACCCGTAAACCAGAGTTTCTGAAATCACAACAGCTCCCAAGATACACTATACCATAAAGTATGATTTAAAAGACTTGCATATGCAGTATAACGCTAACTGAGTTTCCTAACTGGGTCACAGAATTTGCTGTTACACCGGTCACAGGTCAAGTTAGCTACCAGCTAGCTCGTTAACATGTCTCACCAACGCTGACGTGACAACGACAGCAGCTGAGTTATAACGTCAAACCAGTTCAATGCACAAGTTCAACACAACACTGACAACACTGTTATATGACCAAGTTGTGGGGGCAACGAGCTAAGACACAAAACCGTTAAAGTTGAGCTACCACTTAGCAACTAGCAGTTAGTACAACTTCTTCTAGCATTGACCGGTTCCAGGGTCAAAAATTAAACCGGGTTACCTCCCCCCTTCTCAGGGTAATGTGTTGTAAAGGTGAGACTGTCTAACGGTATTTGCTGCCATGTTTCCCTTCAGCTTTTCTCGATAAGGCAAACTTAAACCAACGTTAGCCTGGTTAGCCGCTGTAGCTAGCCGGGTAACTTGCTAACTCGTCAACTCTTCGGCTCGTGCCGCCCGGCGACCTTGGGCTGAACTAAACAAATAGGCGTATAACGGCAGAGGAGTGTTGTTGTGATAATAGGTGCATTTTTTTGGACCTTACCTTTACGTTATCAACCAACACGACGCCAGTGTCGTACACATGTACACTTGTTTCTCTTCGCTGAACTGACCCATGTCTTCTCCGCTGTATTTATAAGGACGCTGCCGCACCGGGGCGCTGCTCTGCGGCCAGCGCCGCCTGGTGGCCGGACGGACCAACATCACAACAGACCAATGCAGCTGATGTTTATAGAGCCACTGGGAAAGTTACAGCTTTGTTTTTATCATCTCATTTTATCTGAAAATAATTGAGTATACTTCCTGCATTTTACATGTTTATTCAAGTGCAAAGCAGTGACTTGTTTCACGTCAACAGATAATGATAATCTACTCATATGTTACCTTTTTACCTTGGTATCCTTTCAATACTTTTAAGGTTTAGCATTTTATGCATGCACTTGTAGTAAAGTCCAACTAAATATTCCAACGGGATGTCCTCTAATTGTTTTTTTTTTGGTTGGACAACCAGACCAAAACTCAAAGATACTCAACTGAAATCACATAAAACAGAAAAAAAAATGGAAGTTCTCATATTTAAGCTGGAACCAGTGAATGTTGGCCATTTTTGTTTGATAAATTCTGTATAAAAATACTACCTGAATATTTTCCTCTTTAGCTCCAGCTTGCACCCGCCCCGAGGAATGGCACTCAATTCTTCATCAGCGTTAAAGGATTTTATGTTCAAAACACAACAGTATTCAGGAACACACACCACTTTTTCCTCTACCACCATCAATTTATTCAATCTTTTAGCTTCAATATTTCTCCAAAGAAGTGGAATAAAGTAATGAAATAATTACAAAATGGAAAAATAGATCAGAGAATAGATCATATTCACAGGTTTGATTTAAAAAAAAAAAAAAAAAAAAAAACATGACAAGAGAAATTAGACAGTGAGAGATGAAACCGTTTTATCTCCCTGTAGTTTTCTGCTGACCGTCAGAACCACAGCAGGCTAACGGAGGTCAGGGCAGGTCAGCACGCAGCTTCTCAGCTACTGCAGCACCACAACTGACTAACCCATGTTGATCAAGGTCACCTGTGAGGTCAAATCATCTACGTTTAGTGCTTGTGCAAAATAAAAATTTAGAAATCAACTACTAAAAAAAAAAAATAATAATAATAATAATAATAATACAAGAGGTGGAGAAACAGAAGATGACACATCCTAATGTGTTAAATAAAAAACAAGATCGTTACCACGCAAAAAGAATGACAATGAAGACAGAAGGAGTAAAATGTTAAGTACTGATGTGTACTAAACTATTGAAAACTGAGCACAGGTAAGAGAGGCAACCAGTTGGGCACCACCACCATCGCTAGGTCCACATTGATTGTTGCTGCAATGATACCGTATTTACAGTGAGATGCTTCACATCCAATCAGAGGATGCAATAGACGGCAATAAAGAGATTTTTCTTCAAAAATAAAACAATAAAACACAAAGGTAAAGCAGCTGTCCCTTCACAAAATCTCTTTACATCACATTAAAAATTAGCACTGCTGTGAGCTGTGTGTACAGTATAGATTCTTTATAGATATATATATATATTTATGTATAATATATAGGGTCATTTCTTGTATACACGAACATAAACTTGTCTCATTGTAGCTAGCCTGTGCCTTTGGCAAGATTACTTACAACTCTTCTGTTAGATTCCAAAGCTATTTAAAATATACTTAATGCATAAAAATAAAGATTTTGGCATTGTCTCACTCTTCTTCTGATTGGGAAGTTATTAACGAGAACTTCTCATCTGGAAGCCGAGTTCTCTCAGTGCTGCAGTTCCTCTGCCAGGTGAGGGAGGTCTCGTCCTGTCAACAGGGGGCGCTGGGAGCTAAACGGAGCAAAAGGAGGGCAGGGGACGGGAGCAACCGCACCTGGGTGGGTGGGAGGGGGCTGACGAGGGGGCTGGATGTGGCTCAGCACAGATAATCCACGGGGTAATGACGACCTTGCGCGCCACAGCACAAACGAAAAACAATACAGACGATGCTAATGAAATGCCTGGGGAGCTGCACCCTTGTTAACAGCAACCTGTTTTGTTTTTTTTTCTCCCCTCACTGCTGTGCAGAGTTCTGCTCCCTGTTGATTCACCTGCTGCTCTCCACTGTGCCAGTTCTCTTCAGCCCCGCTGAGCTTGTCCGCTGAAACCGAGACGAGGAGAGGCAGGACGTGTCGCTCTCTTCTGTAGTCAATCGCCCACCTGCTCAAGCAAATCTTTATTGTCCAGTACGTTCTCATCTCAAGCCCAGGCTTCAGAGCTGGATCTCGAAGGTCTTGTGCAGCTCGGTGGAGAAGGGATTCGTCGGGGAGGGTGTGGTGCGCTGGCGTGAGCGGCTCTCCAAAGCTGCCCACTGGGCCTCAAAGGCATCTTCCTGCTGCTGTGGGGGCGGCTGGGAGGCTGGGGAGGATGGAGCGAGTTGGGACGGAGCTGCCCAGCTGTCTGCTCCGTTAAAGGTCACACTGCCATTGGATGGCTGGAGGTGAACAGGGTTCATGACCGCGGACTGCGGGGGTTTGATGAACGGGCTGACGCTGCCGACGGCCTGGACATCGTGCTGGGGGGTCGTAGACGCAGGGACGGGGAACGGCTGGGGTTGCGTGGCTGAGCCGAACACATTAGCCACCATCTGTGAAGGAGTGATGCCGACCACAGGCACACTGGGCTGAGGGAACGGCAGCCCGTTGGACACTGGGTAGGAGGCTGGAGCCTGAGCGTGGAAGGCAGGCTGGCGAGGGGGCAACATGGGCACGGCGGGGGGCAGAGAGGACATGAAGGGAACAGAGGGAACGGGCGCCACAGGAATCGGCACGGGGGCAGTGAACTGCTGGGTGGGGGGCGATGCCGCTGCCATGATTGGATTAGGCTGCGGAGCTCGGACAGACTTGGTGACTTCGTCTAACCACCGGTCTGCTTCTGATGGCGTGCGTTTGTGGGAGGGTATAGCTGGGGAGGATGAGGGGGGGACTACTATCACTGGAGTAGGTGATGACCAGTCACTTCCTGTTGTCAGAGAGTAAACAGAAAAGGCAAAATAAGTGATTAAACCAAACATTTAATTACTGATAAAGTTTAAAGGGATAGTTCGGGTGTTTTGACGTGGGGTTCTCATGAATACTCGGTACATTACCCACAGTGCATTCTGTGCAGTGCGCTCCCGGTTAGGAAAGCTGGCAGCTGAGTGAATCAGAAAGCGGCGTGCGCTCCGTAGGTGCGCTTGTGCGTAGGAATACGGTAGTTCAGCGGTTGAAAAATGTAGTGCCAAAGGAAAGTGCTGTTTTCACGGGAAGATAAACCGCTGAAAATATTCTACACACAACTCCACGTCAAAAAACCCGAATTATCCCTTTAAAGTTGATAAAAGTAACAAATAAGACCCACAT